TTGTTTTGAAAGCTGCAGACGTAATGCTGGATTGACCGCATGGCCAATGTTGAATGTTTATCCTTTTAAGTTTTTGGAAAAAAGACCCTTAAACCCAGACTTGGACCACACACACACTCCACTGAATAGCAGGCTAGTGATTGCTTTGCAATGCTTGCAGTTAGCCACTGATTCCTTTTAAACCACTCATTGTTGAATTTGCGATTTCCAACTTGTTGTGTAATGTTTATGTCCAATGGCCGATGAGCGCCGATACGTTTAACTATAATTTCTCTTCATATGACAAGGATTGAAAAGGATTTTGAAAGTATGATGCTGACATGATCAGTCCAATCAAAGCTATGGTAGATATAACATGATTTGATGTCATTTTATCTGTGGCCAAAGACCTTGAGCCTTCTTGGATGGGCACTTCTAATGTAACTATATGGCAACCCAAGCGGCTTGAATTTTCGAGCTCTCCCCGTAGATTTTGCGGTGACGTAGTGTCCCCATGAGTGACAGAACAGCCAATCACAGCGCAACTAGAGAACATTACCAACCCCTACGCTCTGTATTTTCCGCTGGCTGCCCCACCACCACACAAAGCACTGAGCTAGGCTGAAACACCTGCATTTTGAAGCTGCTTAGTTCAAGAAAGAAAAAAAAAGACTGTGTTTGTATGCGGCTTTATTAACTCAAAGATTATTATTTTTTACATTGTTTGCAAACTGATGTGTGACACATATGAATGCCAAAATTTGACATTTACATTTAGCAGACGCTCTTATCCATAGCGACTTACAAATTGGTGCATTCAACTTATGATAGCCAGTGGGACAACCACCTATTTTGTTGTGTATTTGTTTTGTTTTTATGGGGTTTTGGGGGGAAAATGATTACTTTATACTATTCCAGGTATTCCTTAAAGAGGAAGGGTTTCAAGTGTCTCCGGAAGATGGTCAGTGACTCCGCTGTCCTGGCGTCGTGGGGGAGCTTGTTCCACCATTGGGGTGACAGAGCAGCGAATAGCATTGACTGGGCTGAGCGGGAACTGTGCTTCCGTAGAGGTAGGGGAGCTAGCAGGCCAGAGGTGGATGAACGTAGTGCCCTTGTTTGGGTGTAGGGTCTGATCAGAACCTGAAGGTAAGGAGGTGCCGTTCCCCTCACAGCTCCATAGGCAAGCACCATGGTCTTGTAGTAGATGCGAGCCTCAACTGGAAGCCAGTGGAGTGTGCGGAGGAGCGGGGTGACATGAGAGAACTTGGGAAGGTTGAACACCAGACGGGCTGCAGCGTTCTGGATAAATTGAAGGGGTTTAATGGCACAGGCAAGGAGCCCAGCCAACAACGAGTTGCAGTAATTCAGACGGGAGATGACAAGTGCCTGGATTAGGACCTGTGCCGCTTTCTGTGTAAGGTAGGGTCGTAGTCTGCGAATGTTGTAGAGCATGAACCTGCAGGATCGGGTCACCGCTTTGATGTTAGCGGAGAACGACAGGGTTTTGTCCAGGGTCACGCCAAGGTTCTTTGCACTCTGGGAGGAGGACACAATGGAGTTGTCAACCGTGATGGCGAGATCATGGAGCGGGCAGTCCTTCCCCTGGAGGAAGAGCAGCTCTGTCTTGCCGAGGTTCAGCTTGAGGTGGTGATCCGACATCCACACTGATATGTCTGCCAGACATGCAGAGATGCAATTCGCCACCTGGTTATCAGAAGGGGGAAAGGAGAAAATTAATTGTGTGTCGTCTGCGTAGCAATGATAGGAGAGACCATGTGAGGATATGACAGAGCCAAGTGACTTGGTGTATAGAGAGAATAGGAGAGGGCCTAGAACTGAGCCCTGGGGGACACCAGTGGTGAGAGCACGTGGTGCGGAGACAGATTCTCACCACGCCACCTGGTAGGAGCGACCTGTCAGGTAGGACGCAATCCAAGAGTGAGCAGCGCCGGAGATGCCCAACTCGGAGAGGGTGGAGAGGAGGATCTGATGGTTCACAGTATCAAAGGCAGCAGATAGGTCTAGAAGGATAAGAGCAGGGGAGAGAGAGTTAGCTTTAGCAGTGCGGAGAGCCTCCGTGACACAGAGAAGAGCAGTCTCAGTTGAATGACCAGTCTTGAAACCTGACTGGTTTGGATCAAGAAGGTCATTCTGAGAGAGATAGCAGGAGAGTTGGCTAGAGATGGCACGCTCAAGAGTTTTGGAGAGAAAAGAAAGAAGGGATACTGGTCTGTAGTGAGCGAGGTGAGGTAAGGGAGAACGTCTCCGGAAATGGTCTGGAGAAGAGAGGAGGGGATAGGGTCAAGCGGGCAGGTTGTTGGGCAGCCGGCCGTCACAAGTCGCAAGATTTCATCTGGAGAGAGAGGGGAGAAAGAAGTCAAAGCATAGGGTAGGGCAGTGTGAGCAGGACCAGCGGTGTCATTTGACTTAATAAATGAGGATCGGATGTCGTCAACCTTCTTTTCAAAATGGTTGACGAAGTCATCCACAGAAAGGGAGGAGGGGGATTCAGCACGGAGGAGAAGGTGGCAAAGAGCTTCCTAGGGTTAGAGGCAGAGGCTTGAAATGTAGAGTGGTAGAAAGTGGCTTTAGCAGCGGAAACAGAGGAAGAGAATGTAGAGAGGAGGGAGTGAAAAGATGACAGGTCCGCAGGGAGTCTAGTTTTCCTCCATTTCCGCTCGGTTGCCCGGAGCCCTCTTCTGTGAGCTCGCAATGAGTCGTCAAGCCACGGAGCAGGAGGGGAGGACCGAGCCGGCCGGGAGGATAGGGGACATAGAGAGTCAAAAGATGCAGAAAGGGAGGAGAAGAGGGTTGAGGAGGCAGAATCAAGAGATCGGAGGGAGAAGGATTTAGCAGAGGGAAGAGATGATAGGATGTAAGAGGAGAGAGTAGCAGGAGAGAGAGAGCGAAGGTTGCGATGGCACATTACCATTGGAGTAGGGGCAGAGTGAGTAGTGTTGGAGGAGAGCGAGAGAGAAAAGGATACAAAGTAGTGGTCGGAGACTTGGAGGGGAGTTGCAGTGAGATTAGTAGAAGAACAGCATCTAGTAAAGATGAGGTCAAGCATATTGCCTGCCTTGTGAGTAGGGGGGGACGGTGAGAGGTTGAGGTCAAAAGAGGAAAGGAGTGGAAAGAAGGAGGGAGAGAGAAATGAGTCAAAGGCAAACGTAGGGAGGTTAAAGTCACCCAGAACTGTGAGGGATGAGGAGGGTAGCATAGGCTGAGATGAACTCTGCCTTGTTGGCCGCAGAACGGCAGTTCCAGAGGCTGCCGGAGAACTGGAACTCCACGTTGGTCGTGCGCTCAGGGACCACCAGATTAGAGTGGCAGCAGCCACGCGGTGTGAAGCGTTTGTATGGCCTGTGCAGAGAGGAGAGAACAGGGATAGACAGACACGTAGTTGGCAGGCTACAGAAAAAGGCTACAATAATGCAAAGGAGATCGGAATGAAATTAACTAAACATCTGGGAAAGCAAGAGAGCGGGGCCTCCCTCACTTACGTTTCACTGAAACACTCAAATATAACTCTCCCAACTTCCACTTTAGAAATTATAATTGTTGTAAACTACAGCGGTTCAATGTTTTCTAGGAATAGACTCTAACTTAGTTTATTCAGCTAGCTAACTTGGTATAGTATTCTTCCGTGAAAACCGTCCAGGGCACCGAATCCTATGACGCCATAGCCAACTAGCATACCAGCCTCCAATAACACGGTTTAGCATCAATACTCGGTTACAACAAACCAGTGTGTTAACACGCCAAACAGATCATTCGTGTCCGTGTCTAACGTTGTGTAAAGTTTTGGGTTAGTTTTGACAGTTTGAGTGAGTACGTCGTCAACTTATTCAGCCAGTTAGTTAGCTAGAATAGTTAGCATACTAGCTAGCCATTGCTCTCTTCTAACGAACCACCCCTCCTCCGACGGCACGAAACACACAGAGAGAGCCAAGCTAACGTTAACTAGTCACCCATGTCCCGAATTCCCTTGATTGACCCTTGTTACCAGTATGTAAAAACAAAACAAAAATAAATGTAGGTTATAACTTACCCTTAGTAGCTACTGTTAGCCAGTTAAGTGCAAAGCTAGCCACTGAATCGATTCAGCCAGTTCGCGTCTGTCCCAACGGAGAGAAAGCGTCTCCAAATATTACAGCTCGGTCGTTCCAGCTATTGTTTAATTAGCTATCCAGGTAGCAACAAGCTAGCTACATTTCGAGTACAGTAGATACAAACTACCTAACGTTAACGCTTCAGATAATGAGGTTAGAAAAACAGCTGAATGGTAGGTAGCTAGCTGGCATAATTACAGGTACTCTCAAGCGTGAAATAACATTGGAAACAACTATCCACAGTTGCTAATAGTTACCAGTAGCTACCCGCTAGCTAGCTAGCTTTATTGGTCCAGGTGGGTTAGCTAGCCTCGTGCTTCACCGGGCTCAGCCAAATACAATACTTACCTACAATAATTACCTACAATAACTACCTAGATAAACTACCTACAATTCCTAACTACAATAACTACCTACAATCTAAATACACCACATAAGAAGCCAAGCTTACCTCCCGCTCATACATCTGATTGGCAAATACTTTCATTATAAGCTGCTTAAAAGACAGACTACCACCAAAATAACATGCAAAACAGGCAAAAAAAGTTTTTATTAAAAATGTTTAGCTCTGCCCCACCTGCCGTGAATGACAGGTCACCACTGCGCACATGATTCATGGGTGTGGAAACAATTCAATTCAATGTTGTGCATAATCAATTAGAACTAACCACAGAGGTACAGTGCAATCAGAAAGTATTCAGACCCCTTTACTTTTCCCATATTTTGTTACGTTACATCCTTATTTTAAAATTGATTAAATTGTTTTTTTCCCTCATCAATCTACACACAATACCCCATAATGACAAAGCAAAAACAGGTTTTTAGATTTTTTTGCAAATTTAAAAAGAAAAAAATGGAAATATTACATTTACATAAGTATTCAGACCCTTTGCTATAAGAAAATCGGTCGCCAATTGGATGGAAACCTAGCTATAGTAAAACATCTAAGTATTCATGATACAGTATTAACGTGTATTGTAACCCAAACCCATGATAAACAAGTCTTAAAGTGCATGTGTGACATACAGTATGTTACCAAGTGAATAACACGCCCATCCATGTTTCAATGCAATGATGCAAACCTCTTGCTTTACACCGCCTTCATGTCTCATAAGTATATATTCCAATGATAAGAGCCACTGTAAAACCCAGGTTGCCCAGAACGAGGATAACTTTGAGGAGGATATCTGAAAAGGATATCTGAAAAGAAAAGAAATACTACAATTTTTAAAAGTGACATGAAATTGTGTTTTGACACATTGCATTTCAAAGCCCCCCCCCCCCCCCCCCCCCGAACACTGTGACCTTTATAATATGATTACCTAAAAGTTTAATTGGGTTCAGGCTTCATTGAGAGCTGAGGATTGACACTGAGCTTACCGTTCTGTTTGGCACAATCCATTTGTCATCAGTACCTGAATTTCCTGCGAGATGAACAGAAGACACAAAAACATATTAAATCGACTTACATTTTAAAGAAATGCCAATATCTTGAACGGTGAGTTGAGACGTTAATATTCGCAGGTTGACATTTATTGTCATGACTCTTGCCCTGGAGGCAGAACTGAGCGATTTCCCCTTAGATAGGCCAGATCAAAGTGCTTTTTGGTCTTAATTTAAGATTCAGGTTAGGCATTAGGGTTATCAGTGCCAGCTAGTGACCACTATTCAGAGCTGCCCCCAGAACAAGATTCACGACGAAAAACAGTAACCTGCTTAATATTTACAAATCTTACTTTTCCTCTGGTAACTCTGGTTGCAATAGAGGTATATGAACATCAAGTAGAACAGAGCCACCCAGGCTGCATACCCTCCCATCACTTTCATGCGCCAGTGTATCGAGCAGCACTTCTCAATTTCCACCAAACCCACAAATATGGCCGCCACTGTGTTAGAGAGAGGGATGAGAAATACCGAAGGAGAGAAAAGCACATGCAGCTCGAGTTTGAGAGATCGAGGGAACAATTACATTGTACTACTAACTAGGTTGAGAAGGCTAAACCTGAAAATGTGATCTTATGCACTGTGAACACCACAACACACAGGGTAGGTATACTGTAGTAAGCCTTCTACAGAACTAATCTAACCCTCAGAAATTGTTGATTTTGTTCGCAACCTTACAGGGTTCCGCCAAACGAGAAGAGAAAGATTTCTTGTAAACTATAGGTTAGATCTGACGAGTCAACTATGCTTCACTATGGAATCACATGAGTGTGGGGATCTATTTTTTATAACTGAATGTGATGCCTAGCTTAGAAAGAATGCATTAATGATTAAACATTATAGGTTTGTACTGTACTGATATAAATTGTTTAACATAACAAGCTGTGATTCATGTGAGGAATGTTAGGGAGTAGGGTGAGACAGACTTGTATTTCTCATAGACACATACACACTGCCTCTTTGTTAAACCATGCTCAAGGACGTGTACTGCAAAAAGGTGCTGATGCTACAAGTTGTGATGATAACAACTTATGCCTGGCAACAGTATGCAACAGTGAAGCACCAAGGGGCTGGGACCAGCCTGTGCGCCAACGATAGGCTGAGTAAGTCTAAACCACGCTCAGTCTCTACCCTGATAGGCCCAGCAAGGAGCGGGAACTATCACTGTCAGGGTATTTAAAGAAGAGCCTGTAACAATGGATCAGTTCTCTGAGTGCCCTGCGTGGAATTTCAGTGGACCCATATATACGAACATCATATTTACCATTGAAGTGGTTTGCATTAATTAAAATACTAGTCTATTTTAGAAGACGTGTATTGACCTCTTTTGTTCCTAATACCAGATTTGAATTGACGCAACTTAACATGAGCTATGACCAATTGTTTTCCTTCAGTTATAATCAAAAGGTGTTCCTTACTGGTAAAAACCTCAGTTGTGAAGGCAATCACTCTGAGAACCAAATCACAGATGGACCTCCTGAAAAAATGTACATAAAATGACATCTTTACTAATGTGAGGTTCAATTCAAGTACTTTCAACACACATTTTCAGGCTTTGATTTGAGGAACTCACAGTTCATGGCTGGGCCCAAAGGGTAGAAAAACAATAATGGTTTGTCCCAAGCTCAGGATCATTGCCACACCCACAAGAGCCATGAGAGTTATCTATAAGACAAAAGCACACACACATTTCATCTCAACATGGAGTTTAACCCAACCCTGAACAGTAGTACAGTGTTCTAGCAGGAAGAAAGTCTATACACTATTATAAACTGGGTAGTTTGGGTCCTGGATGCTGATTGGCTGAAACAGCATTCCAACCGTGTGTATATGACAATATTTTTTTAAATTTATTTAACTAGGCAAGTCAGTTAAGAACAAATTCTTATTTACAATGACGGCCTACAGCGGCCAAACCCAGACGACGCTGGGCCAATTGTGCGCCGCCCTATGGGACTCCCAATCACGGCCGGTTGTGATACAGCCTGGAATCGAACCAGGGGGTCTGTAGTGACGCCTCAAGCACTGAGATGCAGTGCCTTAGACAGCTGCACCACTCGGGAGCCCGGGTATGACCTAAACATACACTACTTGTTTACTGTTCCATTTATTTTGGTAACTGGTGTTTGGAGGATATATTGGCATGGGTGTTATATCCTCCAAACACTGACTTCTCGTGCATTATCACTTATATAAACCGGTTACCAACATAAATTGAACAGTAAACATGTACTGCATATTGTCATATACACACAGTTACCAACATATTCAAATAATGATTGACATTTTCATTAAAAACATTATTTTTATGAATTTATTCATACTATTTCATCCTTCCACAAGATATAGTCCCGACACAAATCTAGGGTTGCTACCCAAGCCGGCTGGTCGTTCGTTCTATCGGTTCGGTTGCTAGAGACGCGACCCAGTCATTCAGTCTTTTTGATCTGTATCTATAGACGCGACCCAGTCATTGTCTTTTTTTTCTGTATCTATAGACGCGACCCAGTCGTTCAGTCTTTTTGATCTGTATCTATAGACGCAACCCAGTCATTCTGTCTTTTTTTTCTGTATCTTTAAAAGCGACCCAGTCGTTTGTTCTAAATGTTCCATTGCCAAACTGGCTGCCAACGTTATTTTCCCTTGCTTGCTAGCTAGTCAACTACGGCTAATTTACAGTCACGTCAAAACATGTAGCCAGATTAACAGCAAAGTAGCTGCATTTGCATTTGTTTAAACTGTTTTCTAGTGACATTTATTTGGATACATTCATAACAATGAGCTAATGAGGCGTGATTTCGCCTGGCATAGAAAATGTGCTCACTCATCAGGACACTGTTGTTCAGAGGAGCTAGCCAACAACACAGCTAACACAATCACTTCAAACTGACGCTGGAAAGACTGCATACTAGCTGCACCTTTTTTCAATTGACATTTCTTTGTATACATCCATAAAAAGGATGCCAGCTGATTCATGATTTCGACTGGCTGAGAAACGCTGCCTGTCTGTCTCATCCAGACTCCCGACACGTTCATTACTATGGGACATCTGGAGATCGAATTTGAATATTGAAACAATGTTGAAAATGTCGGAGAGATAGACAGCAAGGTTTATACAAATCTCCGCTGTTGAAAACGAAATGTTAGTCTAAAAGAAATGTGAGATAATGTCTCATAGATTTAGCTGGTGGTAACTTGTGAAATAGACACTGGCTGGAATGCGGTTTTAACCAATCAGCATTCAGGATTAGACCCACCCATTGTATAAAATAGCAATAAGGCACCTCCGGTTTGTGGTGTAAGGACAATATACCACGACGTGAATAAAAACTGCCCATAGCTGTGGTACTGTATATTTAAGCAATAAGGCCTGGGGGGGTGTGGTATACAGGCCACATACCACAAACCCCAGAGGTGCCTTATTGCTATTATATATTGGTTACCAATGTAATTAGAGCTGTAAAAATACATGTTTTGTAATACTCGTGGTATATGGTCTGATATACCACGGCTGTCATCCAATCAGCATTCAGGGCTCGATCCACCCAGTTTATAATTGCCAATATACCACACCCCCTTGGGCCTTGTTGCTTAAATAAAGAATATAACAAATAATTGATACATACTTGTGTGGGCTCCCATAGCAGCAAAATAATAAAGGCGATGATGGCTGCAACCATTGAGAGAGGACACAACAAAATCTTGAACCCCTGCAACAAAATAACAACTGTTGTCAAATCATTACCCAACATTATACTAATAGAATAGACAGTATGGCACTGTAGACACTAAACATTTCCAGACAAAAGATCAGTCGGAGAGGTACAGATTTAAACCAGAATCATCTACAACATGACTAAGTGCAGAAGGGGCCGTATCCACAAAGTGTCTCAGAAAAGGTCCTAGGAATCCTATCAGAACCTGTTTTTAACAAAACAAAAATCCCAGCTCAGAGTAGGTTTTAGGGTGATGTTAAGACACTGCCCAGAAAAACTCTGCGCCAGGAGTAAAATCAATTAATACAATTTTCTCAGATGGTAATCATGACATTTTGAGGTACCGCAAAGGAAATATAGGGCTCTATTCAATCCGTATCACCAAAGTTCATCATTACAGCATGATTGAAATTGAAAGGCAATGTTCTTGCGTTAGCGTTTTATATAGTTTACGCCTGACACGATCACTTTGCCAACTCTTAATTCTTGCCTAATATGTTGGCATGCATAACCTTTTTCTAAACCATTTTGAATAATGCACCGAATCATACAGTAAGCATCAAGTCACTTGCAGATAATGTTACATAAAACGCAGCACCAGCCCTAGCCTTTTGGGGGCCCTAAGCAAAGTTTTGTTGGTGGGTCCCCCCCACATTTGAGTGGCCCCGCTCTTGACGGTTTTAAAGTTAATTTACTGCAATTCTACACATTTTACCATGGGGTGCAGAGACAATGTTGCAGTTTTAAAGCAAGTTTGCTGCAATTCTACACATTTTGCCATGGGCAGAGAAGATTTTGCAATTTTTAAACTAATTTCATGCAATTCTACTCATTTTGTCATGGTGTGGAGATCTTGTTGCAATTTTACAGTTAATTTCCTGCAATTCTACACATTTTGCCATAGTGTGGAGATAATGTTTTTGCAGTTTTAAGGCAAATTTCCTGCAATTATACACATTGTGCCATGACTTATGATGTCTGAGTAAGAGTGACTAACAAAATCAATGGGGGCCCTCTGGAGGTCAGGGCCCCTGGGCACGTGCCGTTCGTGTCTGGTCGATAATTCGACCATGATTACTACAAGTTTAGATAGCTGGCTACACTAACTTACCAATCTAAAAAATGTTAGCTGACATGGGCTAATTGAGAGACTGTCAGTAGGCAGGTTTCCATTGACCAAGGTTTATTCGACAAAAGCAATGTTGCAAAAAAAATGTAATGGAAACTGCCTTAATTTGCCTTGCTTGTCTGGTTGGCTGGATGCAAGTTTCACCATTTCAGATCTACAGGAGCGCAAGTTTCACCATGGCACGGACCGTGGCGATACACTGGCGCATAATAATTATTAGAATATGGCAAATATTTGTCAATTCTTGCATTCTATCCATGCTGGCTTTTGGGACAGGAAACAGATAGGTGGGAGAATCACTGGACAAGTTCATGGAAATATAGCTTGTGACTGACGTACCAACAGAAAAACTGCTGATGGACAACCACATTTCGAAATTGCACCTTGTGTATTCTACTATTCTAACTCTCAACAGTAAGTTGAGTTCCCCCCCCCCCAAAAAATACTACATAATAATAATTGGGTCGGGGACCCTAAGCGACCGCTTATGCCTGTGGCCGGCCCTGATAAAACTCTTGAAAGGTCTTATCATTTTAGCCTAACAAAATCAAAAATAACATAAACCCTATGCTTTCCATTGCCCAATTTATAGGCATGCCCAATTTAGGCATATTTTTTTAACAGCGTGCGCTCCAAAGGGATAACTTGAAATAACATGATGTACACTAATGAAATAATCAAAATATTGTGATTATTTATTAACCTAGTGGTTATAAGTATTGAGTCATATCATGTGAATTAGGCCTCGTGAAATCATTCTCAAAAGCACAATTAGCATGTAGGGCTAGATTATTTATGGGTTGATCATTTATGGGTTGATCATTTATGGGTTGATCATTTATGGGTTGATCATATAGAAATATCAAAACATTATTCTATGGTGCAAGAACCACTGACTCGCTGCCTTTTTCTATTATCAAGACACCTGCTGGTAACTCTTAACTGGTTAGGACAGCTCATGAGGTTTCCTAAATATCTGTTGACTAGGTGGGACTCTTATGACTAAAGAAGAGGCTTCATGCATAGCTTTTATTGTTACCCATAAGAGTAGGAGTAAAATGTCTCTATTCTCAGCAACAATTTTATACTCTGAGATGCTTTCTGGATATGACCCCAGCTGTACGAAGTCATGCGAGATTTTCCTAAACAAGACACTGAAAGAATTAGAAGGAAAATATTAAAATCCATATAATTACTTACCTTATGCCAAAGTGTCCGGCCTTTTGGAAGACTCATGACCAAGAGTGAAGGCCGAATGAGAGTGCTAATAAGCATACACGTAGAGGGTGCAGATATGTTACAGTCAATCATTCTCAGAGCAGTAGTGAGAGTAGTAGTGGTAGTAGGAGTAGTAGTGGTAGTAGGAGTAGTAGTGGTAGTAGGAGTAGTAGTGGTAGTAGGAGTAGTAGTGGTAGTAGGAGTAGGAGTAGGAGTAGGAGTGGTAGTAGTGGGACAGGTGGTGATGTTAATGGCCTCTGGTATCCAGAACTTCATAACGTCTTTAATAAATGTGACTCTGAAAAATATAAATAAACATGCTTTCAGACTGAATGTCCCTTTTACTGTAGTGTGACAACAGCAAATTACAGTAAAATAATTAATGAATGCATGAATAATGACCTGAAATAGAAAACTCCTTTGCTTGGTGCGGTCCAATTGGCTTCGATGGATGTCTTGGGTTGGTTGTTGGGTTGGGTAACAGCAGCTGCCTACACACACACTTTACAGTCAAGGACAGACTGACATCAAAGGTGTCATACAGTTAATTTCAAAGCACCTTTGCTTGATGACACCCTTTTACCATTATTATTGTCTGATCATGAGATTGATGCTTGATCCCATGAGATGAGGAATAAGGAGGGTAAAATAAACTGCAATAAGAGGGTAACTAAGCAACAAGAAGGGGAAAACACTCCTATTAGAGCAGACTCACTGGATTCCCATTGCACTCAAGAAGGCGGCTATGAGTGGGATTGAGCAGAGTGAAGGTGCCAGCAGCAGGTCCATCCTGAGATTCCCTAGCCTCCAACAGAAACCCTTTAAACGGAGTGGCAGTATCAGCTTGGAGTATCACTGTAACACATTAATAGAAACATAGACAGGTTCATCCCAGAAATTTTCCTTACGCACAAAAAGCTTATTTCTCTCAAATGTTGTGCACAAATTTGTTTACATCCCTGTTGGTGAGCATTTCTGCTTTGCCAAGATAGTCCATCCCCCTGACAGGTGTGGCATATCAAGAAGCTGATTAAACAGCATGATCATTACACAGATGCACCTTGTGCTATGGACAATAAAAGGCCACTCTACAATGTGCAGTTTTGTCACAAAACACAATGCCACAGATGTCTCAAGTTTTGAGGGAGCGTGTAATTGGCATGCTGACTTCAGGAATGTCCTCCAGAGCTGTTGCCAGAGAATGTAATGTTCATTTCACTACCATAAGCCGCTTCCAAAGTCGTTTTAGAGAATTTGGCAGTACGTCCAACCAGCCTCACAACCGCAGACCACGTGTAACCACGTCAGCCCAGGACCTCCACATCCGGCTTCTTCACCTGTGGGATCGTCTGAGACCAGCCACCTGGACAGCTGATGAAATTGTGGGTTTGCGTGCTCGTCGTCCTCATCAGGGTCTTGACCTGACTGCAGTTTGGCGTTGTAACCGACTTCAGTGGGCAAATGCTCACCTTCGATGACCACTGGCACGCTGGAGAAGTGTGCTCTTCACGGATTAATCCCGGTTTCAACTGTACGAGCGGTTTGCTGATGTCAACGTTGTGAACAGAGTGCCCCATGGTGGCAGTGGGATTATGGTATGGGCAGGCATAAACTACGGACAACGAACCCAATTGCATTTTATCGATGGCAAATTGAATGCGTAGAGATACTGTGACGAGATCCTGAGGCCTATTGTCGTGCCATTCATCCAGCGCCATCACCTCATGTATCAGCATGATAATGCATGGCCCCATGTCGCAAGGATCTATACACAATTCCTAGAAGCTGAAAATGTCCCAGTTCTTCCATGGCCTGCATACTCACCAGACATGTCACCCATTGAGCATGTTTGGGATGCTCTGGATCGACGTGTACCACAGCGTGTTCCAGTTCCTGCCAATATCCAGCAACATCGCACAGCCATTGAAGAGGAGTGGGACAACATTCCACAGGCCACAATCAACAGCCTGATCAACTCTATGCGAAGGAGATGTGTCACACTGCATGAGGCAAATGGTGGTCACATCAGATACTGACTGGTTTTCTGATCCATGCCCCTACCTTTTTTAAAAGGTATCTGTGACCAACAGATGAATATCTGTAATTCCCAGTCATGTGAAATCCATAGATTTCCTTATATGAACTGTAACTCAGTCAAATCTTTGAAATGGTTGCATGTTGCGTTTATATTTTTGTTCAGTACCATCCACTATTAGGCTTCACATAAAGAGGAAATTATGTAACCAATGATAGTCAAGCTCATCTGACATGGCCCAATTAGGGCTGCCCAATTCTGATCCGTTTTCCACTAATTGGTATTTTGACCAATCACATCAGATCTTTACACGTCAGATCTTTTTCAGAGCTGATCTGATTAGTCAAAAGACCAATAAGTGAAAGAAATATCAGAATTGGGCTGCCTGTGTAAATGCTGAATATTGCCTTCTCTATTCTTAAATGCATTTATTAATTTACTCCAAGTTGCACACATTTATTCACATGCACACACACACACACATTGAGGGTGCTTTGAACTTTACCTTTAGTCTGATCTCCTTCAGCACGGGAACAGAAATGTTTAGTGACACTGAACGGTAATGGACCACTCTCAGGTGTGGGATGAAAATGTTGGGGCAACATTGTGTTACAGGACATTTCAACACCACCACCACTAAAACCAGTCACAGTTTCAATGGTGGCAATGCCAATCAAAATGATGAGGATCATTTGGGTGGAGCACATCTGAAAAGCAGGGTGTGTGTGTCAAAACATTGTTTCTTAAAATATCTTAACTTCAACACTCAGACTGTACAGCAGTGTTGTAGTCTTTATCTAAAAGTAAAGTACCCACTGTGAGTGTATTTGACCCCCAAACCTTGACTAGGGTAGGCTAGGCTACAACAAACAGCTCTACTGTAGAAGCTTAAGGATAATTTGTATTAAATCAGTGTTTGATTACTTTATTGTAGTCTTTATTGTTGACTGGTTGCCTCCCACATTAACAATGTTCCAGCATACTGCCCTAGGTCTCCGATTTACTAGACTAACTTTGAGGAGGCCAATCAGATTTGACAAGGGTCTTTAGTTGTAAAATCATATGCAGTAGAAAATGTCCATTAAAATCTGGTGTCAGAGATGCCCACCATCGATGGTTATAACATATGACTAGAAAAGACTCCATGCGTTAATAGGCTATGCGTTACACAGTTGACAGTTTACAGGTGGCACCAGTGCTTTATTTGGGCCAGAGCTTTCCAGAACGCCATACCGGCACTTCACATTTTTGGGGAATTGCGACCCAGCTTCTCTATAAAAACAAAGTAGCCTATTGCTAGTACAGATTCACACACCGCGGCAGAAAAGGTTGATCAAAGCGGAATGAAGGCGGGATCTTCATTGAATAGCAATGGAGAGTGGGCATTAATTTCCTGATTCTGCTTTGTTCAAATTTATTTGCTGCTAGTCTGTGAATCTGTGGGTGACAGTAGGCTGGTCGAGATTGTGCAGATTGAAAATGCGGCAGGCTGAATGGCATGATGCGATGTTCCAAATTGTCAAATTAGGGTTTGTAAGGTCATGAAAAGTCAAGGAAATTAGTTTAATAATTGTTGTTAATATAATTCATGAAAGCACACTATTAAATATGATCAATCAATAAAAAAAACGACATATCAGCCATTATCGGAATGACCCTTCAGTGCATGTCTGTGGTGCTGCGTGTGTGCCAGTGGGAGTGGGCCGTTGCCGGAAGAGGGTGTGAAATTTCAGCAGCAGGTATAAAATAATGACAGACAGACTAACAATTTGCTGTGCATTGAGCTCCCCTAAAACATGAATAGTTGCAACACAATCTCACACTCAATTCGTACAATATTAATATGCCATTTAGCAGACGCTTTTATCCAAAGCGACTTACAGTCATGCGTGCATAAATTTTTTTGTGTATGGGTGGTCCCTGGGATCGAACCCACTACCTTGGCGTTACAAGCGCCGTGCTCTACCAGCTGAGCTACAGAGGACCACGCACCAATAAGTATTTCAGCAGATTTCATGCGTTTTTGTGAGTTTTTGTGTGGCTTAATTCGTAGGAAAAGACATTTAATAAATTGCGACTTCATTCATAGTAGAATACGTTTTTTGGGGGCAAACTTCGGAACAATTTTTGAAAGTCATTAGAGCAATGCATGATGGGCAATGGTGTTCTACACTGCCTTTTTAGTGTGTCCCACAAACGTGTTAACAACACAATATTGTTAATCAACCAGGTTGTCACCGAAATAATTATAATATAATACTACCCTTACGTTGTTTCGTTTTTTATTAATGCCAATACTGTTTTCTATGCTTGTTTTTGGTTAATACTTTGGGATACTGGTGCTCTTGTAGTCAGAAAGGCCCTTTTTTCGTGTAGGCAACAGTAGGCCTACACCATTTTCTTTATAACGCATTTCATATTTCATGGAGCCTACATTACAACATTTTCTTAATAATTCATTTAATACAAGGCTCCACTTTTTAGTGTACTTTACACCATTTCTTTCATAATGCATTTTATACAAGCCTATTTAGAATTTTATGAGGGTTGCCAGATTGATATCAATTAAGGTATTTGATTGGGGAATAGGGATACATTCTTGTAATAGGTAATTATAATACACCATAATACACACACACACAGACACTTACATACATACACACACACTCACTTTGTTTGTACTCATGTTACAGCCAACTCTTGACTTTTGTATTAATACTTTTTTAGAAAAGATTTGTGTTTATTTACAACCTCTGGGGTATAACATGTTGGGCATAGTGGTATAGGAGAGTCTGACATATAACCCCTAACTTGAGTTCAGTCTTCGCCAATGAAAACCAAGAGGGGCCTAGCTTCGTCCTTCATGTCTGGGAAAGGCCTCAATTCTAGGCCATAAAAAAATCCTACATCCATCTCATTAGATCAGAACAGGACGGATCAACAGTGATTCATATTACTGGTTTGAATCCTTAAAAAAAGGATAGTTGTGTTTTGCTGCATAACATACATTATTTGTCTACCCATATGACGTGGATCATTTTCAGGTTATCTGATATATAAGCTTCAGGAACAAAAGAACACCATGGTTGTAATAATACTGTAAACAGGTCGTTTGTAAATGTGTAGAATGTGTTTGTTATGGGTCCAAACTTGTAAATTAACTTATGTAAATTTGACAGTCACAGAGGATTTTCTTCTGAATAACTGGTCAGGGCATAGCACTTTCCATTCAGCTTCAGGCTACTTTGATGTACGGCTTGATCACACCTGTAGTGACCACTTCTATCGGTCGCGCCTATTGTTGCTTATCCATTGTTCACTAGATATATCGATGTAATTACACCCAACACAATATTGAAAAACAGAATGCTTCCCACCACTAGATCACATACAGTGCCTTGCAAAAGTATTCATCCCCCTTGGTGTTTTTCCTATTTTGTTGCATTACAAGCTGTAATTTAAATAGATTTTTATTTGGATTTCATGTAATGGACATACACAAAATTGTCCAAATTGGTGAAGTGAAATGAAAAAAATAACTTGTTGCAAAAAATTCAATAAAATAAATAACGCAAAAGTGGTGGGTGCATATGTATTCACCCCCTTTGCTATGACGCCCCTAAATAAGATCTGGTGCAACCAATTACCTTCAGAAGTCACATAATTAGTTAAATAAAGTCCACCTGTGTACAATCTAAGTGTCACATGATCTGTCACATGATCTCAGTATATATACACCTGTTCTGAAAGGCCCCAGAGTCTGCAATACCACTAGGCAAGGGGCACCACCAAGCAAGCGGCACCATGAAGAACAAGGAGCTCTCCAAACAGGTCAGGGACAGAGTTGTGGAGAAGTACAGATCAGGGTTGGGTTATAAAAAAATATCTAAAACTTTGAACATCCCACGGAGCACCATTAAATCCATTATTAAAAAATTGAAAGAATATGGCACCACAACAAACCTGCCAAGAGCGGGCCGCCCACCAAAACTCACAGACCAGGCAAGGAGGGCATTCATCAGAGAGGGAACAAAGAGACCAAAGATAACCCTGAAGGAGCTGCAAAGCTCCACAGCGGAGATTGGAGTATCTGTCCATAGGACCACTTTAAGCCATACACTCCACAGAGCTGGGCTTTACGGAAGAGTGGCCAGAAAAAAGCCATTGCTTAAAGAAGAAAAATAAGCAAACACGTTTGGTGTTCGCCAAAAGGCATGTGGGAGACTACCCAAACATATGGAAGAAGGTACTCTGGTCAGATGAGACAAAAATTGAGCTTCTTGGCCATCAAGGAAAATTATATGTCTGGCGCAAACCCAACACCTCTCATCACCCCGAGAACACCATCCCCACAGTGAAGCATGGTGGTGGCAGCATCATGCTGTGGGGATGTTTTTCATCGGCAGGGACTGGGAAACTGGTCAGAATTGAAGGAATGATGGATGGCGCTAAATACAGGGACATTCTTGAGGGAAACCTGTTTCAGTCTTCCAGAGATTTGAGACTGGGACGGAGGTTCACCTTCCAGCAGGACAATAACCCTAAGCATACTGCTAAAGCAACCCTTGAGTGGTTTAAGGGGAAACATTTCAATGTCTTGGAATGGCCTAGTCAAAGCCCAGACCTGCCTTGCCGGGGTAGATATATCCCCTGTGCCTGTTTATTGTTGGAGTATCCCGTATCATGTATTGCCAGGGTAGATAGTTTCCCCTGTGCCTGTTTTCGCGTGTCGCTATCCAGCGCATTTGTATACGACGGAATAAACTCTGTATTCAGTGATTTACCCTCCTGCGCCTGACTCCTTCTATCACACTCATCACAAGCGGAACCCATCCAACTTGAAGGAGCTGGAGCAGTTTTGCCTGCACACCCAGAAGCTCTCCAGATGGAGGGTTGACCACATGTTGACAACATGTGACTAACAGTGCAGTTCTATGTGGGGGGCTAAGTGCCTTGATCAAGGGCACAACGACAGGAGGTGGTAAGTCTACATGGGATCAGACACAGCAGCTTTCCAGTGTCAATAATGCTTACTTTTTCATGTGGGCTATAATAATAGTCATGAAAATGTGGTTAAAAGTCATAGAGAAGTAATTAACAGTGAACAATCAGAGGTCTCTATAGCATAATGTCATTTGTGAATTTCAGTGAACATAGTCTAATGGATTGCCTTGGAAAAAGACAGCTCCTGCACTTCTTCCATTCCATGTCAAGGACTGGGTGGCACTAGGGTCTACACTTGGAGACAGTCGGCGACAGTATGTTACACAGTGGTTTAAAGTACATAAGTAAAACATTTTTAAAGTACTACTTAAGTAGTTTTTTGGGGTATCTGTACTTTACTTTACTATTTATATTTTTGACAACTTTTACTTTTACTTCACTACATTCCTAAAGAAAATAATATACTTTTTACTCCATACATTTTCCCTGACACCCAAAAGTACTCGTTACATTTTTTATGCTTAGCAGGACAGGAAAATGGTCTAATTCACGCACGTATCAAGAGAACATCCCTGGTCATCCCTACTGCCTCTGATCTAGTGGACTCACTAAACACATGCTTTGTTTGTAAATTATGTCTGAGTGTTGGAGCTTTCCCCTGGCTATCCGTAAATAAAAAAACAAGAAAATGGTGACTTCTGGTTGGCTTAATATAAGGAATTGGAAATGATTTATACTTTTACTTTTACTTTTGATACTTAAGTATATTTAAAACCAAATACTTTTAGACTTTTACACTGGTGTATAGTAGGATTACACTGGGTGACTCATTTTTACTTGAGTCATTTTCTATTAAGGTATCTTTACTTTTACTAAAGTATGACAGTTGGGTACTTTTTCCACCACTGATGTTATAAAATGTAACTAAAGATATCTAAGGCCAATAACGGAATGTAGAACGGAAAAACTGCAAATAAAATTGTTATATGTCTTACCTTGTTTAAGGAAGGTTGCAACATACCTTGCCAACACGCAGACTGAAAATGGAATGCCAATAAGGAAGTATGCCAAAGAGATAGGCCTACTGTACTGTGCAAACAGACATGACGTTTCATAATCCTAGTGGCTAGTAAGACCGGATCAAATCACCAAATTTGGTAGATGAATTCCAATCCTATTTCTTACACATCTGACCGATCTGACCTTGACATTCCACTGTTCCTGAAATTGTGCTTGACACAAACAGGTGTAAGTAGCCAAGTGTTATCCCACTTCTGACACTAGTGTAATGAAATGAAATAAAATGTTATACTTCACATGCTTCATAAACAACAGGTGTAGACTAACAGTGCAATGCTTACTTATGGGCCCTTTGTCAACAATGCAGAGAGAATGAAAATAGAGAAATAATGGAAAAGTAATACAAGTAATAATAAATAAACAATGAGTAACGATAACTTGGCTATATACACGGGGTACCAGTACCGAGTCGATGTTCAGGGGTACGAGTTAATTGAGGTAGATACACTACTAACGTATGTGGACACCTGCTCGTGGAACATCTCATTCCAAAATCATGGGGCATTAATATGGAGTTGGTCCCCCCTATAACAGCCTCCACTCTTCTGGGAAGGCTTTCCACTAGATGTTGGAACATTGCTGCGGGGACTTGCTTCCATTCAGCCACAAGAGCATTAATGAGGTCGGGCACTGATGTTGGGCGATTAGGCCTGGCTCGCAGTCAGAGTTCCAATTCATCCCAAAGGTGTTCGATGGGGTTGAGGTCAGGGCTCTGTGCAGACCAGTCAAGTTCTTCCACACCGATCTCGACAAAACATTTCTGTATGGACCTCGCTTTGTGCACGGAGGCATTGTCATGCTGAAACAAGAAAGGCCCTTCTCCAAACTGTTGCCACAATTTTGAAAGCACAGAATCATCTAGAATGTCATTGTATGCTGTAGCGTTAAGATTTCCCTTCACTGGAACTAAGGGGCCTAGCCCAAACCATGACAACAGCCCCAGACCATTATTCCTCCTCCACCAAACTTTACAGTTGGCACTTGCATTGGGACAGGTAGCGTTCTCCTGGCATCTGCCAAACCCAGATTAGTCCATCGGACTGCCAGATGGTGAAGCGTGATTCATCACGCCAGAGAACACGTTTCCACTGCTCCAGAGTGGCTGAAATAGCCCAATCCACTAGTTTAAAGGGGTGTCCACATACTTTTGTATATTTAGTGTATGTACATATAACTTGGAATAAAGTGACTAGGCAACAGGATATATAATTAACAGTAACAGCAGCATATGTTATGAGTTAGTGCAAAAAGGGTAAATGCAGATAGTTAACCAAATAGCTACCCGGACTATTTAAGTAACTATTAAGCAGTCTTATGGCTTGGGTGTACAAGCTGTTCATGGTCCTGTTTGTTGTACGGTAAGCAGAGAGAACAGTCTATGACTTGGGTGGCTGGAGTCTTTGACAATTTTTAGGGCCCCAGTGACGTACTGTGCCATACTCACTACCCTCTGTAGCGCCTTGCGATTGGATGCCAAGCAGTTGCCAAACCAAGCGGTGATGCAGCCTGTCAAGATGCTTCCTGTTGTGCAGCTGTATAACTTTTTGAGGCTCTGAGGGGGAAGAGGCGTTGTCGTGGCCTCTTCATGACTGTGTTGGAGTGTATGGACCATGATAGATCTTTAGTGATGCGGACACCGAGGGACTTGAAGCTCTCAACACGCTCCACTACAGCCCCCTCGATGTGCATGGGAGCGTGCTCAGCCCACCTTTTACCTGTAGTCCAAGATCAGCTCCTTGATCTTACTGACGTTGAGGGAGAGGTTGTTGTCCTGGCACCACACTGCTAAGTCTCTGACCTCTCATCGCCGTCGGTGATCAGGCCTACCACCGTCTTGACTTCATCAAACTTAATGGTGTTGGCGTAGTGCGTGGCCATGCAGTCGTGGGTGAACAGGGAGTACATGAAGGGACTAAGCACACACTCCTGAGCGGCCACCGTGTTGAGGGTCAGCTTGGCGGAGGTGTTGTTGCCTACCCTCACCACCTGGGGCGGCCCATCAGGAAGTCCAGGATCCAGTTGAAGAGGGAGGTGTTCAGTCCCAAGGTCCTTAGCTTAGTGATGAGCTTGGAGGGCACTATGGTGTTGCACGCTGAGCTGTAGTCAATGACCAGCATTCTCCCAATAAAAAATATTTTGCATCTTCAAAGTGGTAGGCATGTTGTGTAAATCAAATGATACAAACCCCCCAAAAAATCAATTTTAATTCCAGTTTGTAAGGCAACAAAATAGGAAAAATGCCAAGGGGGGTGAATACTTTCGCAAGCCACTGTATATGTTGGGGTCAATGAAGGGTGGATAGGAATTTGGTGTATGGAAAGTTACTGAGTGAGACAAGGGGAAGTGCAGAAAGTTAGTATTCTTTTTCTAAGAAGGGAGGCAAAGGGCAACAGTTTAGTTAGTCTTTGATAAGGCAGGCCAGCTGCGAAACTAGGGAGGAGCTAGGAATTATGCTCGAGGTCAAGTCAACGATGCAGTTTGAAGAAACCTCTGGGAGGGGGGCCAGAGGGGCCCACTACAACGACCTTCTTACTACAGTCCTATCTCACACACATACATTTCCACGCCCACGAAAGTTCTAGCATTAGGCACGGCCATGACTACAGCAGTGAGAGGAACCAATTAAGTTCCTGCCTAGCAACAGATATGTATTAGCTGTCTAGATGTGTAAGGAGTTGACCCCGCCTAGTAGGAGGTTTTAAATAGATGTGCTTGTGTAATCATGCTTTGTCTTTACAGCTGTATGACCCAGTGGGTGAATAAACCTGGTTTTAGCTTTTTCTAGTCGTCCGTTTGTTCAGAACCTAGCACTACCAAATATAGACAATAGAGACACTAAAGTGGCTATGGGTAATGCTATAGTCTACTATAAAATGTTTTTATTAAGCCAAATTATACAGTTGTTTTACTCCATTTCATTGTTTACAACAGCTTAATAAACAGTAGCCTACTAGGCCACATTTTACAGTATGTCACACAGATGACATCAAACATTCAAGCACACACTTAAGTAGCAAGCAGATACAGTATGTATGATATGTGATTGATAACACAGTCAAGTGAGTGAGAGTTCCAGCATGACGTACTGCAAACTGAATTTAATGAGTTTGGTCACACTGATGACATTGATCAAACATGGTCTTTCCCAATTGAAGCACATACTTGAGTAGCAATCAGAGATACAGTAAGTATGATATGGGATTGATAACACCGTCAACTGAGTGAGAGAGCACCAACACGACGTGGGGTTGGTTGGTTCTCAGGTAGAAAACCCTGACATCGCTGAGTGTTTTGATCTGAGAACAAGCCTGTGAGTTGAGTTCAGCAACACCACTGGAACTTTGTACATTGCTCAAAGAATAATCCTATTTTGAGTCATTCCATTAAAAACCTCTTCACGCAATTAATTTAAAATATAAAATTGTTCGACAGAAGGCAAGGACAAGCATGCACATAGCACTCCCTCACGGGCCAACTTTCTTTAAGACTCAAACTCTAGGGCAAAGCTTCCCCACTATCCCTTTACTAGGCATACATTTGATAGAGCCAGACACATAGTTGTATTTAATCAAAACTGCTGTCCCGACATTTACAGAGCAAGACATTCTTCTCATGGTTCAAACTAAATGAAGCAGAAAGACAAATTAATGTTGTTTTGCCATACTCCTGAAAGTCCCGGATACCCGTTGTAATTGAATAAGAATCTCTGTCACAGTGCCCTATCAACGCCCTCCAAACAAAAAAATTACGAAACAAAAACACACACACACAGCAAAAGCAGCAAGAATGAAATATTAAAATGAAGTCCTTGGAAGTCCTCCTGATAAAATCAGCATTCAAAGAATTGATGATAAAAAGGGTTATTAATAATTAATGAAGAAGGCGTAATGTTTTAAGAGCAGGTTGTTCCCTGATGATGAGTGCATTCATAAATACAGTTTGTGTACGCTGTGTTGAGGCACCATCTCGCTGCTCTCTCCTTGTACACGGCTAGAAACACTGGGTACTCCTGCCTCTGCTCCATCCCACTGACGACAGACAACCGCTGGTCTTGGGACGTCCTGAAGACATTACTTCTTCTTTGGATGCTGCTCAAAGAAAACAAAAGGGAATAAATCAACAGATGGAAACAACCATTTGTGTGGTCAGGATGTTCAGTGGATGTACTACGGATGTGTTTGGGGCAAAATATTCCAGGGATAATTATCACTGACCAGGTCCCATTTGTCTGGATTTGACAGAGCTACCTTACTTATCGCAGGGCAGAAATCAGTGGTTCATGGTGTTAGACTAGCTGAGTTTAGAGACTTGTTTTCAGGGAGTGTGCTATGACCAGGCAGAGTGTAGTGTATTGTACGATAGTGTGCAGGAAGAGTGGAGTGTATTGTACGATAGTGTGCAGGAAGAGTGGAGTGTATTGCAAGATAGTGTGCGGGAAGAGTGGAGTGTATTGTACGGTAGTGTGCAGGCAGAGTGGAGTGTATTGTACGGTAGTGTGCAGGCAGAGTGGAGTGTATTGTATGGTAGTGTGCAGGCAGAGTGGAGTGTATTGTATGGTAGTGTGCAGGCAGAGTGAAGTGTATTGTACGGTAGTGTGCAGGCAGAGTGCAGTGTATTGTACGGTAGTGTGCAGGCAGAGTGGAGTGTATTGTACGGTAGTGTGCAGGCAGAGTGGAGTGTATTGTATGGTAGTGTGCAGGCAGAGTGGAGTGTATTGTATGGTAGTGCGCAGGCAGAGTGAAGTGTATTGTACGGTAGTGCGCAGGCAGAGGAGTGTATTGTACGGTAGTGTGCAGGCAGAATGGAGTGTATTGTACGGTAGTGTTGAGGCAGAGTGTAGTGTACATTAGTGTACAGGCAGAGTGTAGTGTTTTGTACGGTAGTGTACAGGCAGAGTGTAGTGTTTTGTACGGTAGTGTACAGGCAGAGTGTAGTGTAGTGTACAGGCAGAGTGTAGTGTATTGTACAGTAGTGTACAGGCAGAGTGTAGTGTACAGTAGTGTGCATACAGAAGCGTTCAGGGCTTGTTTCAGGTCCTCAATGATGTCCTGCTCATCCTCCAGCCCCACAGACAAACGGATCAGCGTGTCACTGATCCCCAGGGCGGCTCTATCACTCTCTGGAACAGACGCATGGGTCATTATCGCCCTGAGAGAGAGGGAAAGAAAAGGGAAATAGCTAAATATTCAAAAATAATCCATTTCTAAAAGCACTATGTTTAAATAGTTGGTTTCAAAACTTCAAAGTACAAAAAATATATACATTTCTTCTTGACCACTGCTGCCCCCTTGTGGCATTATTGTTCAATAATTGAGGCAATCAAAGTACTGTATATTTAGATACTTCAGTATATTATTTGGTTCAGCTGACAACATTTTGAATCTTAATATTGTAGCAGTTACAATATTATGATTGTTGATGATATGTAGGAATACTTACGGATGCTCTGCCAAACTTTCATAACCGCCAAGGCTCTCGGCAAGTGCAAACAACTGAAATAAAAACCAGCACAAAATGTTATTACCGTGTCCATCTGTGAGTGAATTCACAACACATACTGTAGTAAAATACAGTGATCCTCATACTATAGAGCCGAACCGTGCAGTTTATTTTCACACTGTTCTTTCCAGAATGGTTCCAGCAACTATAGTGTATGAAGCGTAACCAGACGAGCCCAGTAGAGATCGTCTTGGCATTATATTGTGAATCAGATGTGAGCGTCTCAATTCTGTAATCACCTTGAGGTTGCTGAGGAAGGTGCTGGCATTCTCCAGTTTTCCCTTTATGTAAAAGGTGATCATCCCTGGGCAGCCTGTACACTGTCTCTTCATCAGCTCGTGCTGGGGGTGGGAGGGTAAGCCTACAGAGTGAAGGGGGAATAAGAGGAAAACCAGACAGTCGACTGTTAAATCCCTTAACCACAGGGTGCGGTCGACTCAAGCGTAGAGAATAAGAGGGTAACTGGAGAGGAATGTGCTATGCGTGTAACTATACACTTTACATGTGCTTCTACTGGCCCAGGGATTTACCAAAGTGACTGCATTGTGACATGTTTGTTATATCAGCTATTTGCCCAGGAAGCAGGTCATGTCAAAACATGCATTTTATGCAATATACAGAAATAATGCACTTTGAAAAGTCACCTGGGAAGATGACTCTGTCCACCCTGGGGTCAGCCTCCAGGAACTGGGCCACCGCCAGGGCGTTCTTGAAGTGCTGCCTCATGCGCAGGTGCAGGGTCTTCAGGCCACGGTTACACAGGTAGCAGTCAAAGGGGGACGGTACGGCTCCCAGGGCTTTAGTGTTAGGGTATAGTAAGGAAGAACAATGCGTTATACAACACACCAATCAGCCCCTCAGACAAAGAACCAACCAGGGTAACACACAAAGCCTTCTTTATCAGTGGTTTATAATTGGTGGAAAGCCCTGGCATCACGAGCATGTGTGGATATTTGATGAGCGAAAGTAGGTCACAAAAATGGAGCAACTGCTTCACAGCTAAGTTTAAGTGCTTCAATCATAGTAGGCAACAAATGTGGCGGGTGTGTCAGCTTAACATACATTGCTTTTATCCAGTTGCCATTTGCCATTCATTCATCTCTCACCATTCTGTAGAAACTTCAGTCGGTCATACAGGTCCTCACGGTTCACAGACACCAGGCCCATTACAACATCACTGTGACCTGTCAATCAAATAAGAAGGAAAAAAATAAACACCCATGTAAACTCAAAATTTTTTTGTGTGGAAATTCTCTTCAGTCAACATCAATGTACAGACAACATGTACCTACCATTCATGTACTTAGTAGCTGAATACATGCAGATGTCTGCTCCGAGGGCCAAGGGGCGCTAAAGAGCAAGAGACAAACACATAGGAGTATCTTTGGGTTAATCAATGACTCACTATGAACCAGTCTGGGAAGAGAGGAAATGACAATGTGTTAAACTTCACTAAGGATACTCATTTCCAACTGTCCCTGGGCTGAATGTGGCAATGCCGAACCAACAATCAACATTCTAGATACATAACCAACAACGCATACAAGGCAGGATAGACTTGCTACTTACCTGGAAGTAGGCTGACATAAAAGTGTTGTCCACGACCACCACGGTATCCTTGTTGTGTTGGTGGACCACCTCTGCACAGGCCTGGATATCCACCACTTTCATGGTAGGGTTGGTGGGAGTCTCAATCCATACCAACTACATGAAGATAGAAAATAAAGGAGAATCCCTTTAGAATTTAAAGAACAAATTAGTTTGAGTGGAAGGTAATACAGTATATATCAATAATATACAGTATCTAGCCTTGTAGCAGCAGGTGTCATTTGAGTTTCATAGTTTTGGCTCCTAATCAAAAACGTACAGCTATAAGATCTAGGTTTTAAACTATGGTCATGTATGGACAAGAGAGACAAGTCACAGTGAGAGTGAAGTTTCTCCTTGAATTCTCCAATGGAGTCTATGATAATGCTATGACTCAGGGAAAAGCTCAGGGTGGAGCACTTAACATGAAGAACAAAAGGGAAATGGTAGTGCTGATGCTGGATGACACATCTATTCTCACACCAACAGCCTGGAAACCTGAAACCTGGGTTATTTTCAAACTTTGGAGGTTTAGGTGAAAATAAATTAAATGGAATAAGGTCATCAAGCAGACTTAGAATTCCACTTACCTTTGTGTTCGGCTTAAGAGCGGCTTGGAGCAACTCGATTTTGGTACAATCAGCAAAGGAGACATCCAAGCCTAATTCTGCAGCAATCTTCCGGAAGTAACGATTGGTGCCTGTAGAGAAAAAGACAATGTATTACCGTTTCATGGTCATGGCTGAATGCATCAAACCATACCTACAAATATGTGTGTACTCTTTCACTGACAACATTTTGTCTACCTTTTGGTAGTTCTCCAGACAATTTTACAGACACTGTGGGCCATATCTTACCTCCATACACATCATTCATGCAGACAATGCCATCTCCAGCTTTCAGCATGTGAGTGATGGTCATAGTCGCAGCCAGCCCGGAAGCCAGAGCAAAACCTACACAAAATTCACAGTTAATGATAGTTCAAAGAATACATTCTCTTCAAGTTGTAAACAGGAGGCTAGTTAAAGGTATAACGGTATTTTCTACCTGTAAGCTATAGGCCTACATTCTCTAACTTGTTATATATTATTAGATACAAATTCACGAGGTAGTTGTGTCTGACATGAACACTTACAGTACTTTGCTCCATCCAAAGCAGCAACAGCTTTCTCCAGACAGTTTCTAGTAGGATTTCCACTCCGACTGTACTCAAAACCCTGATGAAGACAACATTCCACATTCAGAGAGCCCACATTTGCCACATCTTTCATAAATAAACAGATGCTGATATTGCTGATCATCTGGCTATTAATTAGTATTTAAATGTAATGACAATCGTTAACACAAACACTTTCAGTATTCATCACAAAAAGATCATTTCACATTTTTATTTTTTATTTTAGTCATTTAGCAGACGCTCTTATCCAGAGCGACTTACAGTTAGTGAAGCGTAACCAGAGTGGTTTGCTAGGTACCTGGGGCCGCGAATGGGTCGTGGGCACCTCACTGTCTGAGGTTGTGCAACATGAATAAGTGCCACATGAGTCTAGCTCGTTATACCGGTCTGGCCGGACCGGTATGACACCCCATACTGAACGAACGCCCCTCGATACCGGACACCTTAGCTGGCCTAGGCTACTGTTATACTAGCCCTATATAGCGACGTCCTATATGGGTTTCTGCTAGGCACAAGTTAGCTAGATACTGTTACAGTACATGGGAAAAGTCTTGCTCGCTATACAATGATGATGGCTACTATCATTTCAGGTCATAATACACATTCAAAGCATTTCAGATTAGTACCGCAGGTAGCACCTATTACAGTTACCCGAAGGTCTTTACGTTATCCGAATGGTATACATTAGGTAACTTACAGCATGATCTCCAGGTCCATACTGCTTGAACGTGGTGGACAGAGAAATAGGTGGCACCACGGCCATAGATTTCCATTGCTCCGGTTCTTGCCCAACGTGGATCGCCTCTGTTGCGAAAGATTTGAACTGCACGCGGAACCCGGTAGACAAGTCGTTCTGTTGGTGTTTAGAAGCCATGTGTTACAAATCAAGGCCGGTTCCCTGAGAGTACAGTATGTGTATGTTTCACCGTTGAATAATCTAAATGGAAACTAAATAGTGAAGTAGCGGCGACCTGTAATACCCATATAATGTCTAGCCCAATCACCGCCTCTCTACAAGAGGAGGATACCACCGATTGGTGTTTCAACAGGGGCGTCCCGTACCACGTGACCCGTATTTGCTCGTGGTTTATTTGATATTGTTGCTGGCAAGACGTTCTCTCTCCACGCCAACGATAGTATGACGCAATACATAATTTGAGCCAATAGGAGGAAGAGTAGGCTGCATTAAACAAATGTGTTATATACATGTACATTACGTACAAATATATACGTACATTACGTACAACTCATGTAGTTTGTTCGTAGTTTGAACATAGTCTAAAATTTACACCACCAATTTGTTGAAGACAGTTTTGTGTATTTTTTCCACATACATAATTTCAGTTGAATAAAAAACAGGAGAAACAGAAACAGGAGAGTTATTTTAACACATTTGTATGTTTTTTTGTCTTAGTACATAAAAAGCAAAATGTTGCAAAAACAACTAACAACAATAACACTCCCATTGACGCTATGAGGGAGAGTCAAGACAGTTTATTGCCTCGTTATTGTTATTTTATTGTTGCTCTTTTATTTTTTACTTTAGTTTATTTAGTTGTTTTCTTTTTTGTCTTAACTCTTATTTTTCTTAAAACTGCATTGTTGATTAAGGGCTTGTAAGTAAACATTTCACGGTAAGGTCTACACCTGTTGTATTCGGTGCATGTGACAAATAAAAATTGATTTGATTTGATTTGATATTGCTGTGATAAAAATACTTAAACGTTTTTTCTCTATTACACAACTATTTGCACTCCTGTGCCACAGGGGGAGACAGTGTGTTATGTTGTTCAGTCCCTGTGTTAGTCAAGACAGTTTGACTGTAAAGTCACATTTCTAAATTTGTAGATCCACAGTCCATCTAGTCTATACCCACAGATTGTGGACCTGGCAGAATATTTCCCTAAGGGAGTTAAATAAGATGCAAACCATTTTCCTATGGAACATTTATGATACATTTCAAGGACAATCAGCACTAGCCAGCAGATGCAACCCGCTTGATTACAGCTGGATTAGGATCGGAACATAGAGATAGATAGAGGACTCATTTTTGTATCTGTGCCATTATAGAGTATGTGACAGCATGGGAAGCGCTATTGAGGCAATCTACATATTGAAGTAGTCCTTAACAGCTTCTCCCCCAAGCCATAAGACTGCTAAACAGTTAATCAAATGGCTACCCCGACTATTTGCATTGACCCCCTTTTTTACACTGCTGCTACTCACTGTTTATTATCTATGCATAGTCGCTTTACCCCTACCTACATGTACATATTACCTCAATTACCTTAACTAACCTGTACCCCCGCACATTGACTCAGTACCGGTAGCCTCTGTATATAGCCTCATTATTGTTATTTTATTGTGTTACTTTTTATTTAAAAAAAATGTATTGTCTTTTTTATTTTTTTAAAAGTAGCATTGTTGGTTAAGGGCTTGTAAGTAAGCATTTACATTTTAGTATTTTAGCAGACGCTCTTATCCAGAGCGACTTACAGTTAGTGAGTACACACATTTTCATATTTTTTATAATAATAATATAATATGCCATTTAGCAGACACTTTTATCCAAAGCGACTTACAGTCAAGTGTGCATACATTTTTACGTATGGGCTGGTCCCGGGGATCGAACCCACTACCCTGGCATTACAAGCGTTAGAAGCGCCATGCTCTACCAATTGAGCTACAGAGGACCATTTCACGGTAAGGTCTACACTTGTTGTATTCGGCGCATGTGACAAATACAATTTGATTTGAATTTTCTTCTTCACGATTGGCCGATCCCTCCTCATGATCCGGTTGGACATGACTCCAACAGGATCACCAGGAGGGATCAGCCAATGATGTTGGAAGTCCCACCCAGTTGACTACATTAAAATGGTGGAAGCCCTCAATGGCACTGCCCATGCTAAAATGGCCTTTTGCAGCTGTAAGCAAGCAGGTTGGATCTGCTGGCTAGCTCTACATTAGACAATTCACAAACTTTTCTCCATTGTCTTCTATAGTTGGCATATAAATAGGTGTATGTGCTGTCTCATATTTTTCTCTCTTGTTTTGTGTTATGCCATTGTTGTCTGTAGTGGTTTCAAACAATGTCCCAATATTCTAATTAGCCACTTCCTTTAAACCAATTTACAAGGATGGTTTCAATGTGCTTCCATGGCTGCATTTACACAGGCAGCCTATTTCTGATCTTTCTTCCACTAATTGGGCTTTTGACCAATCACATCAGATCTTTTCACATCAACTATTTTTCAGAGCTGAGCTGATTGGTTAAAAGACCAATTAGTGAGAAGAAAAAAAATTAGAATTGGGCTGCCTGTCTAAACGCAACCCGTGTGTCCAAGAAAAGGCATGAGATATAACTTATTGGTTGAACAAAAATCACATTTATTATACTCACAAATGTCCAGGTTTGTCACACAGTTCCTTTGTTGTTGAATGGTAAAGGCAATATATCCAGGTAAGCATAGACAGGTTCCAATTGATATTGATGGTAAATCAAACTAAAAAAAGGCACAAAAATGAGGTTAAAAGGGATGAAATTAGGTAATAAATCCAAAGGTAAATCCACAAAAGAAAACCAATATAAGCAGTATTTAGACGGTTGAAAAAAACTTTCTCTAGGTGTCTTCCAAGCAGGCGCCTATCACCTGTTCTAATTAGCCCATTCATAGACGCTAATTACCTTTAGCTCTATTCATGAAGGTATCTTCTGGCCAGAGGATAGCCAGAATAGATTCTGACCCTACACTTGCTTACAGCTGCACTGGGATCGGACAGGCTTCCTGTTAAGATTAAGTTATCCTGAACTACTACACAAGAAGATTGAAATACTGCTAGTTATTTACGTGCCTTTGAACAGGGTATGGTAGTAGGTGCCAGGCACACTGCAATGCTGTTGGGTTTGTCACCCTCAACAGTTTCCCATGTGTATCAAGAATGGTCCACCACTGTTGGAAGCATTGGAGTCAACATGGGCCAACATCCCTGTGGAACGCTTTCTACACCTTGTGGAGTCCATACCCTGACAAATTGAGGTTGTTCTGGAAGGTGTTCTTAATGTTTTGTACACTCAGTGTATTTTATATCTGCATCAGAATGGAAAGTTGATTGACTGACCATGACAGTCAAGCAAATCTATAAACTCTTGATCTGTGCTATGATGACATAGTGATATAAGAGAATGGACTCCATCCATCCCTATGAAAAGCCAAGTGACATTTACTCCTGATATACTGACCTGTTGCAACCTCTACAACCACTGTGATTATTATTTGACCCTGCTGGTCATCTATGAACGTTTGAACATCTTGGAGAAAAATCTGGCTTTAATGGCCATGTACTGTTATAATCACCACCCGGCACAGCCAGAAGGGGACCACCCCTCAGAGCCTGGTTCCTCTCTAGGTTTCTTCCTAGGTTTCTGCCTTTCTAGGGAGTTTTTCCTAGCCACCGTGCTTCTACATCTGCCTTACTTGCTGTTTGGGGTTTTAGGCTGGGTTTCTGTATAGCACTTTGTGACATCTGCTGATGTAAAAAGGGCTTTATACATTTGATTGATTGAAATTTGATTGTGCGTGTGTCTGTCACTCAACTATTTACTTTATGAAGAATGCTAGAATTTGACTTATAGTATAGTGTCCCAGTTTGCTTTGCAAAATATATTTTTTTACAACATGTGAACTTATTCCCACGGGGGGCCAGTATGAAAATGTATGCACTCACTAACTGTAAGTCGCTCTGGATAAGAGCGTCTGCTAAATGACTGAAATGTAAATGTAATTTTTTGTCTCTGTGAATGGTCTGTCCTCCGACAAATCAACTGTACATTTCGGTGTTCCTCAAGGTTCCGTTTTAGGACCACTATTGTTTTCACTATATATTTTACCTCTTGGGGATGTTATTCGAAAACATAATGTTAACTTTCACTGCTATGCGGATGACACACAGCTGTACATTTCAATGAAGCATGGTGAAGCCCCAAAATTGCCCTCGCTAGAAGCCTGTGTTTCAGACATAAGGAAGTGGATGGCTGAAAACTTTTTACTTTTAAACTCGGACAAAACAGAGATGCTTGTTCTAGGTCCCAAGAAACAAAGAGATCTTCTGTTAAATCTGACAATTAATCTTGATGGTTGTAAAGTCGTCTCAAATAAAACTGTGAAGGACCTAGGCGTTACTCTTGACCCTGATCTCTCTTTTGACGAACATATCAAGACTGTTTCAAGGACAGCTTTTTTCCATCTACGTAACATTGCAAAAATCAGAAATTTTCTGTCCAAAAATGATGCAGAAAAATTAATCCATGCATTTGTTACTTCTAGGTTAGACTACTGCAATGCTCTATTTTCCGGCTACCCGGATAAAGCACTAAATAAACTTCAGTTAGTGCTAAATACGGCTGCTAGAATCCTGACTAGAACCAAGAAATTTGATCATATTACTCCAGTGCTAGCTTCCCTACACTGGCTTCCTGTTAAGGCAAGGGCTGATTTCAAGGTTTTACTGTTAACCTATAAAGCGTTACATGGGCTTGCTCCTACCTATCTTTCCGAGTTGGTCCTGCCGTACATACCAATACGTACGCTACGGTCACAAGACGCAGGCCTCCTAATTGTCCCTAGAATTTCTAAGCAAACAGCGGGAGGCAGGGCTTTCTCCTATAGATCTCCATTTTTATGGAACAGTCTGCCTACCCATGTGAGAGACGCAGACTCGGTCTCAACCTTTAAGTCTTTACTGAAGACTTATCTCTTCAGTAGGTCATATGATTGAGTGTAGTCTGGCCCAGGAGTGTGAAGGTGAACGGAAAGGCTGGAGCAACGAACAGCCCTTACTGTCTCTGCCAGGCCGGTTCCCCTCTCCACTGGGGTTCTCTGCCTCTAACCCTGTTGCAGGGGCTGAGTCACTGGCTTGCTGGTGCTCTTTCATGCCGTCCCTGGGAGGGGTGCGTCACTTGAGTGGGTTGAGTTACTGACGTGATCTTCCTGTCTGGGTTGGCGCCCCCCCCCTGGTTTGTGCTGTGGTGGAGACCTCTGTGGGCTATACT